CCCTGGCGCCGCTCTCCAACCGGTGGATTTGCTCACGAGCTGCCCACATATCGGTATGGGCAGCGTGGGAAGATTCCTCGGCGGTCAGAGCCCGCTTCAAGTTCCTCTCGGACTGAAGAGCAAGAGCGTGCACGGCGGAGTTCGCCTAACAAAGGAAGTTAGTTAGTACCGAAGAAAAGTATATATATAAAAGAAAATGAAAGGAAAAATGAAGAGAACTTACCACCATAGTGTGGGTGGCAGCCCGGGCTCCGAGCTGAGCAGGGTTAAGCATATCGGCCCAAACCAAGATTTCCTCTTTGTAAACAGCCCCTTTGCTTTTTCGAAGGCCGCACTAGGGGACCAAGATACTTCGGCCCCCATCCGGGCTCCCCGAGCTGGAGACTGCCATCTCAGCTGTACAAATGGGTTCGGAGAAGACTTCGGCTGCTACGTCAACAGCCCCGATGGCAACCTCTGGCTCAGTTGCCGCCCTCATAGTGGGCTCGGCCGAAGTCTCGGGCTCCCTAGGTGGTATTTCCTCCTCCAAGTCAATAATCGGAGGAGCCCCAGGGAGCTCGGGCTCGGAGGTCGGAGCCGGCGGAAGCTTGGTTTCGGGAGTGGGGGCTGGTAGTGACTCAATACGGGCTCTCTTAGCAGCCCGCTTCTTACTCCCCTTCATGTACTTGAAGAGCCGATCTCCCTTAAGTTTGTCTACCTCCATGGGACCTGCAACAGAGCTCAGCATTAGTACTCGATAGACCTGTTCATTGGCCGGGTGGCTCGATGGGCCGGCCCCCGGACGGGCTTGAACAAGTATATGGGCCCGCGGGCTTAACCTCGAGCCAAAAACCCAGCCCGCAATAAATTTGAGTCGGGCTCAGGATTTGCCAAAATAGCCCGGCCCGGCCCGACCTATACTTAAACCTAAATAAAACCCCTAGTCGAGACATCGATGTCTCTTCCCATTCTTTTTTTCAGCCGACCCTTCATCTCCAATCTCTAGTTCTCCACATCCTCCACACTACACAGTTCTCATCCTCACACTCTCAGGCAGCCACAACCAGCGAGGCGGCGAGCGTTCACCGGTGCAACAACTCCGGCAGCGGCGGTGATCTCTCTTTGTCAAAATCGCAGGTCAAGCTCGCAGCTCACAGACCACAGTCACCGATTCACTACGAACTCTCCGGCAAATACAATCACCGGCGGCGGCGATGAGTCCTCTTTACCATTTTATTCTATAACAATCTTTAGTGTTTACTGTTTTTATAACTATTGGTCCTGCTGAAAAGAACAAGGCAGAACCACAGAAGTGGCTTGTTTCTTCTCTTTGTCTAGGAACAATTAATATACAGAAATAATCAAATAATATTAAACAACAAAATAAGAGAAATGTTGTAACTTGTAAGCCATAAAAGAGGGATGGGGTGAGAACTGAGAACTTGTTAGTGCTTGAAACAGAAATGTCAGGAGACTCAGAAACGTCGGGCTTCGGGCTCGGTCTTGGGCTTCCGGTTTTTTGTCAGGGCCGGGCTCGGGCTCGGGCCTATCATTTTTCCGTTAATGAAGACTAAAATCCCGGCCCGAGCCCGGTCCGGCCCGGCCCATGAACAGGTCTAGTACTCGAGTAAAAGAAAGAAGCAGGCCAAATGACTAAGGTACTACCTACCTACCTGGACTCAAGCTGGCCTGGATGAGCATACTCTCGGTGATGATGTCCTTGAAACTACAACCGACCTCAGCCCACCATTGGAATGTCTCCTTGGTCTTCGTGTTGAGGATGATTTCGGGGTCTTGGATAGCCTCCCTCTAGTAAGTAGATAAGGGCCACCCCGCAAGGTTCCGAACTATGAAATAGTCCTGCTTCCAGGCTGGGATCTTACTAGGAAGCTTATGCATCAAGTTGAACCCCGGGCGAGGGGACAAGTAGTAAGCCCTCCTGTGCTCGGGGAGAACGCATGAAACGTTCTTCTTGATGGTGAGGATAGAACATAATATGTCCAAGTTAAGAGGGAGGACATACTCGTAGCAGAGGGAGATAGTCCCGACCACGTTACGGACCGAGTTCAGGTTTAGGACCTCCACTATGAGTGGATGGAAGGGAAGGCGCAGCCCGGCTATGAGCTACTCTCGGAAGATTACGACCTCATCAGGGCCGTGCTCCCATGGGAAGTTGCCCGCAGGAATACTATAGGTGTATTCCCTGGGCAGATTGTACTGCTGTATAAGGTGGCAGAGCCTCTCCAGAGTCATGGTGGAGGGTCCGAACCTGTCCGGCATCCTACCTCGGTGAGAGGTGGACACCAATTTACCCGAGGCCTCCCGCACCTCGGGGGACTGGACTCCGGTAGGGTTATCCTAAGCAGAGGTACCCACCTTGGGCACCTCGGGCTCATCTAATTGGCTATCAAAGGAAGACATAATGAAACTGAAGAAGAGCTAGGGTGACTCACCAAAGAGAGATGGACCGGACTTGGAAGAGTTGACTCGAGCTGGAGGCTTTGGACGCGAGCTCAAGACTACGGTTGAGCATTTGTGGCAAAGGAAAATGACCAGGACCTCACTATTTAGAGCCACTATATGTGGGCATCAACGGTTGAGATCGGAATGATCTGACGGTCCTCGTGAAAACCAGTTGCGCGACCTTCGAGGCAAAATTGGTTTAGTGCATTTCTTGATGTCCGCGGAGTCCATAAGTCGCGTGACGTCCGCGCGTAGACCGTATGCGACCCGAGCTGCGCCTGGTAGAACCCAGCAGAGAACTGGTCCAACCAATGAGCTGGCAGATACGAAAGCTCAGGACTCGAGCCAAATCCACCCGGCAGACCGCAGACTCCCCGCGCTGGGTCAGAACCCCTAGCACGGGGAGTGGGGGGCAATTGATGTAGGGTGATTTGGCCCGACCTCGTAGTACGGGGACGCGTGTATATGACCTGGCATAAGTGACAACTCAGCGCGATAGCCTGGCCACAACTCGGCGTAGTGAGCTCGCCGAGGCCCGGCCAGACGACTCGACGGGTGTGACAGTTCGCCGAGAAGCAAGGCCCAGGTTGCCCCGAACCTGAGGGTGGAGCATCTTGAGCTTCCCCATGCAAAGGGACCCGAGCTCTCCCTTCCTAAGAAGAGAGCACCCCAGCTTTTGGCTAAGTGTCCCGAGGGAGAAACACCTCAGGACAAAAACCGTCGAGACTCCTGTTCGAACTTGCTTAAGGCTCGCCTCCAATGCGGGTACCTCGGTGTACCTCGACACCTCGATGCAAGACAAACCTGCCCTAGGTGGTTTGGTGTACAGTAGCTCGGCAGACTGCTGGGAGATCTGCCTGACATTCGTACCTGTCGGATCCGGTGGCAGTGCTAGCATCCCTTGCCAGGCGGCGTTCTGCTTGCCATCTCTGAAAAGCATGGCACGCCTGACGAGTCCGTACCCTGCAGTAGCAGCCTGTAGTAGCAGCCTGCACCTACCACCTTGGCCCTGGCAATAACGACTAGGGTAGTGGCGGTTACGCCTGATGTGACCGAGCTCCGGTATAAAAGGACCCCGACCCTCACAAAGCAAAGGTATTGAAGCTAGCACTTTCAACACTCTTAACTCTCTGAGTCTTCTTTGAGTTTCCGTCGGGAGAGCTCCCCGAGAACCCTTCACATTCTTCTTCCTCTCAGGTGCTGTCCGTCACAAGTAGGAGCTAACTCTCAGCCAGCTAGGAGTGCCCAGATTGTGCTGCATCAATTATATTACAAATGCATATATAATATAATATATAGAATATATTTTTATAATTATATATTAAAATTAATAAATATTATAATAATTGGTTTCATATTTTGATCGGATCGGATGGGGTCAAATTCGAATTCAATCCAATTATTAATCGGGTGTAGATTGTAACATTTGAATTTGATCAAATTACATAAACATATCACCTGAATCCAAGATAGTCGGATCGGACCTTTGATTTCCGTGTATCATTAACAAACCTAGTTTGAACCACTCACCACTCCTCCTCCGACCACTTCTACATCGGATCATCGGTGGTAACTAGTAACTATTCATCACATTTATTCTCATGCTATATTACTCTTATCTATTTGATCCACGTGCCACTGCTACTCATGTTTATTAATTAGTATTAATATAATTTTGTTAATTATTAAGATTCAAATATTACTTTTATTAATATTAATTGTTATTGATATTATTAATTACTACTAAATATTATTAAAGTTGTAGTTAATATTACCAATTATCATTAATATTACTATTCGTTTGTAATTAATATTAATATCATATTTGTTATTTAATATTATTAATTATTATTAATATTATTTTTATTAACTATTAAAATTCTTAGCAATTTACTAATATTTTTCTATTGTGTATATTACTAAAAATAATATATTGTTTTTTGATGATCAACAATATAGATTATCTCAAATGTTGTAGTTGGTATGACTGAAATATACCATACATTGCATAATGCCCATGAAGGTGTGGTGTGGATTAGTCCCCACATTTTTGTCCATAATGTAGAACAACTACTTTGTTAGGGTATGATTTGTTACTACCCAATTTCTTATCTATGCTATAAAATATTTTAATAATAAATTATTAAAATAAAAATTTAATTATTTTAAACAGCATTATATTCCTTCATTATAAAATTTGATTATTTCACTTTCCCTTATCAGTCCCCACTAATACTGCATATAAGCGGGTAATTCGGTGTGAGCCTTTTGGGTTGACCCGACCCATTGACAGCCTATGAGATATATAGCAGGCCATCAACCTGCTGCGGTTCCTTTTACTCAGGACAAGTGTCGTATTCAGAAGAGCTGTAAAGGCCACTCTCTTTAGGGCGTGTAAGCTTAGCATCCCTGAAAAAGGAGAGAGAGACAAGGGAAAAGGAAAGAACACTGAAGCCCTACCTCCTGCCATTGTGGTGCTGTTGATGGCTTCGAGGTCTGAGTAAGGTCTGGTATGATATTTCCTCTTCCTCCTCCTCCTCCTCCTCCTCCTCTTTCACCTATTTCCACTTATTTGAAACAGAAACACAGAATTCATTCTCCAGGGGATTCACTCCCTTCTTTTTCATCTTCTTCTTCGAGGCAGAAAGAGGGGCTTCGCTCCACCTTCTTTCTCTTCTCTGAGACGCAAGCAAAGCCTTCTTCTTGTCGTTGTCATTTTAATCTTAAATCAGTGTTTTATCGGGAAGGGATTAAATCCAGGTTGTCTGCTTTCTCGCCAATACAGGAAATATATATTTTTTTTCTATGGGTCCTATGGCACTAGGGAAAACAACATTGTGTCACATTAGCTGCCTATTCGTAAAAATGTTGAACAGAAATAGCAAATGCAATTTCAGCTAAACTAGCTAGACCGTAATTAAGTTTAACATACCGTAGGGAATAATTCACTTGCAGTTGTTTTTATTCTTTGTAATATTTTTGTTTTCTGAAAAATAAATTGGATAAAACAGAACTCTTTCAAAAGAACTCATCCGTCATGAGTTGCGTCTGCATTTGGTTGCTAATTAGGAGAAATAGGAGGTTTCGATGCTCGTACTTCTCAATGTGCATGTTTTTGCAACATTGATCTTCTTCCTTTTTTATGGGAGGAGGACCCACTCTAGTCTAAGTAGCTAGAAGTCATCATTAAGTGGTGGAAAAAAGCATAGTGTTATTCAGATATTTTTATTGATAAATAATGTCAGTGTTACTGGTAAAGCTATCATTTTTTAGATACCTTTTTTTTACATATTAGATCTTTTAGAGATAAAAAAGTTGCAGCCATCTCAAGCTCTCTTATGTGTTCAATTACAGGGACGATTTGAAATAGTCATTTTTCTGGTTCTTTCATGTTCTCAGAGAGTGGTTAAGTGGCGCGGTACTGCTGGATTGAGTGTGTCTAAAGGTTGTGTTTTAGGTGTGGTGCAGGCTGCTACGTTGGTAACTGTAGCATTCACTATCCAGGTATGCTTATCTTTCTAACTCTAAGTTAAGATCTTCTTTTTTGATAGTTTTACGGGATTGTGGGTCTTTGCTTGTTAATTTTGTTCTGGTCTTTGTATTCTTATGGTATAGACTAAGTATCTTCTTAGTCTTTTGATTTCTTATAATTGGCATAATCTAGACTCAGAGTAAGTTATGGATATCATAAATTTTCATGCCTATTAGCTCAGTTGGAAGAATACTTAAGCCTACTTATAAATGTAAATTATCTAATGTTTTATGTATGATTCTTCAATTCTTATGAACACATATAATTAGTGGCCTACAGGGGACTTGAACCAGCAACTTTCATGGCAGGATACTCTACAGACTGAGCTAATAGGCCATCTTTTAACTTATATATTTGATCCCTTAACATTTATATCATTGTATGCATTTTCTATTATTTACAAAATTAGAAAAAAATTGATTGCTGTACATCTATTGCATTATATGCATCTTCAATTTATATATCTTTGATCTCGTTCAATGATATATTGCATGGATTTTATCCTGAATTTTATTCCTTAAGCTTCTCATTTCTATAATTTTTCACATTAGTATCTTGTGTCTTCTCATTTCTTGTTTTTACATATTGTCACTGTTTTTCCAAGGATGAAAGTTAAGCTAGAATTTTGTCTTATACCTGTTAAAGTGTTGGTTGTGCAGTGCTTGTTTATTGATCATATCATTACATTGCCTTTTACAATTTTCATTGATTTCTGCTGCTAATTGCTTGTTAATTTTTTTGGTAACTGGCTAATTGCTTGTTAATGCGTGCTTCACTTTTACATTATTAATCACTTTCTTTTTCCCATTCAGGTCTGGTGATATAACATAGCATACCAGGGTGGTGTTACATATAGGCATTTTCCCCTCAAAGTCACGTAAAAATGGCAAACATAGCTATAAATGGTATACTGGAAAAGGTATGGACAAGTCACTGAGAACTCTCTCTCTCTCTCTCTCTCTCAAATGCTCTTTTTATAACTGCAGAAAGAAGAATTATAGTGGTTGTGTTTTGATTCCTTCATTTTATTTCCAGATGACGGGTAAGGATAAAGATTACAGATATATGGCAACTTCTGATTTGCTGAATGAATTAAACAAAGAGGGGTTTAAAGCTGATGCTGATTTGGAGCTCAAAGTGTCAAATATCGTCTTACAACAGCTTGACGATGCAGCTGGCGATGTTTCTGGATTGGCCGTCAAATGGTTTGGAAATTTTCACTTGATTGCACTTCTGTTGACCAAAGCATGTTTTGCTATTTGGAGTTTCTGTTTCTTGTTCAAATGTCATTTAAAATGTCTAGTTGTCAAAAATAAGTTCTGTGATAACTGCTACTGTAATATATAATCTCAGTTCATTGCTGTAACTCCTCCCCCATCCCTCTCTTGTCATGAACTCGGCTAATGTTGATTAGTTGATGCAATACATGCTCTTCATTTAACCATTGCACTGGATACAATCATTGAAATGGTTCAGGCAGGATGTTAATATTTGGTACTTATATCTTTTGAAAGTATGTAGAACAAAGTATTTTTCATGATCTTGTAATGAATCTTTGCAACTCCTTTGTTTTAAAAATTGGGCTGTCTTTAATTACTTTCTCCCATTACAACATATGAATGAAACATTTTAACCGAGTGTTTGGGTTATTTGAATTGCATTTTTTATGCTTTTGTTTACTGGGGAGATCTTTAGCATTGATTGAGTTCATGAACTTCTCTCTTGCATCCTGGCCAATACATTGCTGGGCCTGAGACCAATGGTTGTTTATGTCCATTTTTTCAATATCTGCTTTAACATCAATTTCAGTTATGGTTAAAAACAAAATAGAAGCCCCGAATTAATGCTGGAATCTTTGCACTGTTTCAATTGAGTTTTATTTTTTGTTTTTATTTTGAAGTGTTGAAGGCTTTGGAATTAAAATATAAAATATATCAACTTATTTTAGAAAATTAAAAAGCTTGGCAGTCTTGTCTGGCAGTATGACTAAGAGGGGATGTGGTTGAGTGCATGTTTCAGTTTTCTTTCATATTAACTTTAATTATCAGTTTCAATCCTATCTGTTAACGATGGATATGGCATAATGGAATGGTGAAACAGGATTCATGTTGCCGACCCTATATAGTTGGGGTAAGACTTGGATGATAATGATGATGTACCCTATTTCTGTTATTTTGTTCATGAAGTGTGCCCTGTGAGATGCATTTGCTGAAAGGAAAAAAAGTGGAGAACCATGTTACATAGTGTTAACTAACAGTCCAGTTATACTTGTTTCTGTTAAAAATTAAATGCCAAAGACATGGTGTTGAACTGAAATTTCCTCTACATGTTTGTCACTTCTAAGCTTTTGTGGTGGAATAGCTTCATCTTTTAGTTTTCTGTTCATCTAAAGTTATACATTTATATGCTTCTTGTTGGATGTGCTTCACATTATTTTCTTCTTTTCTTCTTGCAGTCTGGCACCTTTGGTGAAGAAGATCAGTGAGCAAAGAGTTTTAGACATGACAGAGAAGCTCTGTGATAAATTGCTGAATGGAAAGGATCAGCATCGTGACATTGTCAGTATAGCCCTTAAGACAATTGTTTCTGAAGTCACTAGTGCAACTGTTGCACAGCGTGTTCTTGTATCTCTTTCTCCACAGTTAATAAAGGGTATCACTGGTGCTGTAAGTTCCTATCTGCATAACCTTTTTTTTCCAGCTTTCCCTTTTTTTGTCTGAACATATAAGTTAGGGAACTGGTGGATCAAACAGCTTAATGAAGCTTAAGCTTTTCAACTTCTCTGAGTTCAGAAGATCTAAACTCTGCTGGAACTGAGAAAATGGAAGAGAGGAAGGTGACAATTCCGGAAAAGGAGGTTAATGTAGGGGCTAAGCCAGGAGCTGAAAACCATGATGGAGGTAAGGCTGGAGGAAAGGAAGACACAGATGGAGGTGAGTTTTCTGATGGACAGGTTGAAAATTAGGTCGAAGAAGACTTGATTTTTGAGGAGGCTGAGATTGGTACGCTGGGTGTTGATCTGGGTCGAGGGAGCAAAACAGAAGAGAAGGAAAAAGATCAGCCTAGTGGGTTACTCAGCAAGAAATCACAGAATGTGAGAACTCACAATATTGTGCATGTGACAAAGATCTTCTCAAGGTTAAAACTCGGCTTGGCAGGGACAGGACCTACAAAAAAATATAAATGGGTGTAGAGATGGAAAAAGGTGAGAGATATTGGGATAACTGGCACTGATCATATGGAGGTAACAGTGCAAGCTCAGTCACAGGACACCCTTTTGTTTAAGGAACAACAGAAAAACAAGGTGAATGGGTTCGACTCTGAATCTGGTCCGATACAGCTAAGGCTGGAAAATGATGATGTTGATGAAGTTTTAGGTAAGGTAGATAGACAAAAATTGGTGGATAGAGAGGTCACAGTTGGGAAAAGCTTGGGTCTGGTGTTCTAGGGTGGGGAGGAATTTGCTAGGAGGGCTTTCGAAGAATTTGAAAGAAAAAAGGAGGAAGAAAATTTGAAGAAAAAAGCACAGCAAAAAAGAAACAAGGAATGGGATGAGGAATTCTCGAATCAAGAGGATGAGTTCACAGATGAAGACTTGTGTGGGCATCTGGAAGGGTTCTTGCTTCTGTTTAGATTGGGGGGGGGGGCTTGAGCTTTTTTGGGGGTTTTTGTATTGGGTCTGTACCATGATCTTTTTTTTTTTTCCAAAATTGTTTGGGTATTCTTTTCTTTCAAGTTGTGGTTTTATTGGGATCATTTTTGGATTTTCTGAGGATGCACTTGCTTCTGGTGATATCTTATCACCTCATGAATTTTTATTTGATTCTTCCAAAAAAAAACCTCTGACTAGGAATTATTTAAGTATCTTGTACCATGATAAGCATATCTAAAATTCTTAGCAGACTTGAGAATACACTTTCTTGTCATAGATGCTTTGGATTATTTATGTAAATTGTAACAAAAAGACATCAATGAAAAATGCCCATTTATTAATGGTAAATGTGAATAGTACAAGCATGCCCCTTTTAATAGTGTCAGTATTTGGTTTTAGGGCACATGGCTAACAGCTACCATAACTAGCTTCACCAGTAAGTCTAGTTCTCAGTTCAATGACATATTTTTTTTTTTTATTTTTTTTTTTATTTTCTGGGGTTTTCACCAAACACAGCTTCTGGCTTTTTGTGTGGCGCCTACCTTACAAGTTACAATGTTGGAAGCCGCTATGGGAAAGCCCTCCCAATTTCCCAAATGGGCACTAACTTGCCCTTTCCTGGGTTGTTTAGGCTGCTTCACTTAAATATTTAATTAGAAAATCTGTTCCTTTCCGAGTATGTTTAAAAAAGTTGAGTTCTCATCTCAACAATAGTTTTTTTCGACTTTCCAGGGTTTTCATCAAACATAGCTTCCTAGATTTCCATGTGGAGCCTACCAGTGTTTTAACAGTGAGAGGTGCACAAAAATCACAAGAGTCTATATGCGCTTGAGGTGCAAGGCACAAGGTGAGGCATGTGCCTTTTTGTAAAAGGTGCATAGTTTTTTTGAAAAAATAAAAAAATAGAAAAATGTAAAAATACATATAAAAATTAAAAATTTTTTATCTATATTTATCAAAAAAAAATAGAAAATTCAGAAAAATTACAAAAGTATTATCTATACTTATTAAAAAGATAATCTTGAAATTCAAAATTTCAAATGAAATTAATTGATTTATGAGGCCTATTAGATAATTTAGACTATTAGTTCAATTGGTTGTATGTTTAGTTCATGCATTTAAGATATGCCAATGCATCTAATGTTCTAACCAATTAAATAATTAAAAAACATTGTATCAATAATTCAAATTATTCATGATATTATATGCTAATAAAATGTGAGAGATGACATCTGCAATTTGCATACAAATTATAAAGTATTTAATATTATAAATAAGAAACAAGAATACAAATATAAAAGAAGTTAACGGATAGTTACTATGGGGCTTCACCCCTGTTTTTGTGGTAAAAACATGTATTATATATTGTAAAAGAATAATAGAATAACAATGGGGTGGAGCCCCTGATTTTACGTAAAAACATTGAGAAAAAAGTTGAACAACAATGGGGCTACACTGCTATTTTTGGAGTAAAAACATATATGATACATTGAAAAAAACAAGAATAGGGCGGAACCACTGCTTTGGAGGTACAAAAAAATAAAATGCTGAAGATTAATGGGGAAGAACCCCTGTTTTTGATGTAAAAAAAGTGAGAATTAATGCCTGAGGAATATTGGGGCAGAACCCCTGTTTTCAACTTAAATTCAGTGAGAAAAAATGGCTGAAGAATTTATTTATTTTTTGATCAGCAACACAAATGATTTCATTAATAAGAAGAAAACATGGTTACAACAAGAGGTTGTGAAAATGAACACAGCTTTAGAAAAGCTGACCCAACCCCAAAATTACAACTGAGCCCAATACAGATGAGTTCTTTATACCCCTTGCTTAGCTAGACCATCTGCCAAGCTGTTGGCAGTTCTCCTCGCCCATTTGACTTGGATTGTCATGTCCTTTGATGGCCATTTAAATCGCCTGAATTCATTCCTCAAATTCCATTTCACCCCTCCCCCTTCTTCAACCATTTTAACAACAGTTTTCAAGTCTTCCTCAATGATCAGTCTATCAATACCCAACTCTTTTGCCTTTTTGACTCCATATGCTGCAGTCAATAGTTCTGATCTTGCAACATCACCTTGTTCAGCAGATCCCGAGAATAAAGTTATAATGTGTCCTTCATCTCTAATGACCCCCTATGCCTGAGGGGCCCAGATTACCCAGACAACTCCCATCAAAATTCAGTTTCTTCCGGCCACCTATTGGGGGTGACCACTTCTTAGCAGATTTCTGTCTTCTAGATGATGTGGCAGCAATAATACCCCAAGCCCTGAAAAAGTTTTCAACCTTAAAATCTGAAAGCAGTTTCAGGCTTTTTGCCTAGTGTGCCACTCTCAAAGTTATGATTTCTACCAAGGGTTCGTTGCTTCTTTCTCTTTTTTGATTTCTTCAAATATTCTTGAGTTTCTTTCCACCCAAACAGTCCAAAGCACCACTGCTCTAGTCCACCTCCCCAAGATCGTAGCCCTCTTTTTAGTGCAGCTAAAGCCAGTAGAGCCAAACAATTCTTCCAACCTATCAGGGAAGACCATCTACACCCAAAGAGGGAAGCAAACCAATTCCAAATAAAGCTAACAAAAGGACGAGAAATTAGAAGATGGAATGCAGTTTCACAATTTAACTTATACAAGATACACCAACTGGGGGACAAACACCAAGTTGGTCTTTTTCTTTGAAGCAAGCCAAGGGTATTAATACAACCATGAAACACTTCCCCCCAATAGAAAGACTGATTTTAGGGGGAATAGGAAAGCACCAAACTTCCTTGACTGGGAAATAAGGAGAAGGAGAGGTGGCTACCAAGGAATCAAGGAAAGATTTGCAAGAAAACAATCCATCAGAATTAAGGCCCCAAACCTTAGAATCTGAGCCACCTTCTCCCAGAAACATTGAGTTCAGAAAGCCTAAGAACTCGGATGCACTAGGAGTTTCAGATTCTCTAAGTTCCTGTTAAAGCCAAAGTTTCAGTTCAGCCCTGAAGGATGGGGGTGCTGACCTAAGAAGTCAGAAATAGGTCTACTCTTAAACCTGGAAAGATCAAAAAGAGAAGGAAATCTCTCACCCAGAAAAATGGCTGAAGAATATTGGGGCAGAATCCCTGTTTTTGAGGTCAGTCAACATTTTCTTTTATATTTAAAAAAAAAATGTTGAATGACAATGGGGTGTTGCCCACCCCTATTTTGGGGGTAAAAGCATATAGAATATATTGAAAAATAAGAATTGGGTGGGGCCCCTGTTTTGTAAGAATTTTTTGATGAGAAAGAACGGAATGTAAGTGGGACAGAGCCCCTGTTTTGGCACTAAAATGAGGGAGTAAATGAAAAAAGAAAGAAAAGAAGAAGAAGAAACAAAAAAAAAGGGAAGGAAGGAAGAAAATACCTTAACCAATGAATGGACTTTCCCCCTGAATCTCACACTCGGACAAGTTGACTGGTTTTCCTTCCTTTGATACATTTGTAGGTTTTTTTGGGTTTAGAAGACATAAAAGTTGAAAAAATAAAAGAAAATGATTTTAATATATTATAATTATGGTCCATAAAAGTTAGAATGATACGGTTTTTTATCAATGATTTTAATATATATTATTTATAGGCATATATTCAAAATATATAATTATGTTCTTCTGTAACATTTTTTTTTGAGGTAAAGAAGGCATTTTTTAGTAAAAATAGTGGGGCAAGGTGCCTTTTGCTCCTTGGGAACACGCAAATCTCGAAAAGTTAACCAAAATAAAAATAAAGATCACCCCAATTGGGGATCCAAGCGCAAAGATATGGCCTTTAGAAGTTTGCGTTTATGTGCTTATAAGTTAAAAAACTGGCCGGTTTTCTAAAACCGGGACCGGGTCACCAGTAGGCATCTACCCTTAAATGTGCCTCGGCTCTGCAACTAGGCACACCTTTTAAAACACTGGGTGTACCGTACAATGCTGGAAGCCGCTGCAGGAAAGCCCTCGCAAATGGGCACTAGCTTGCCCTTTCCTGGGTTGTTTAAACTGCTTCAATTAAACATATAAGTAGAAAACCTGTTCCTATGTAAGTATGTCTTTGTGCAGTTGCATTGATGAAGCAACCAGGACAAAGCAGGGAAAGGGTTTATTTATCAAAACATGTGCTGTCATGTATTCATGTAGTATTTGCAATACAAAGTGTTATTGTTAGGAAGAATTTGGAAATTCTTGTTGATGCTTTGATGGATGTTCCAGGCACCTCATATTGTAATTAATTTTCTGTCTGTTAGGGATGTGCGTTCCATTTATCTGTTTAATATTGAGTTTCACAGCAAGTGTTTTGTTCATTTTTTCATAAATAAATAAATGTTTTGTTCAATTTGGTGTCCAGGTCAAATATTTTTGATGATATTGCATCTTTGTTGGTGTTTAAGCTTTTTTGTATATTTCTTTATTCTAACGTTTTGGATTAAAGATCTTTCTATCTATTTGTATGATAAAATTTCGTTAATGTTGCTAATAGAAAAGTGCATGTGAATGCTTTCATCTTAATCTTCACTGTATATGCCTTTCTTGGATTTTATTTTCACACTTGGGTCTTATATATTCAAACTGTATGTCAGAAATTTCTTTTGTGCTTAACTTATATTCCCCAATGTATTTATTAGAGCTCCTTGGCTTTTCTGCTGCCTGTTTCCAGGGAATGAGTACTGAAATTAAATGCGAGTGTCTTGATATTCTCTGTGATGTTCTTCATAGATTTGGGAATCTCATGGCGGCTGACCATGAGATGCTGGTAGGTGCATTGTTATCCCAGTTGAGTTCCAATCATGCTACCATCAGAAAGAAGTCTGTATCATGCATAGGTAAGCTTAAATAAGTTTAATACTACCTTATATTGTTATTTGGTAATGATTCCAAACAAAATGCCCTAGCAGCCCTCCTTCAAAAAGCATGCTGCAATAATTTTAAGTTGGTCTGATAATTGTGGCGATGAGGGACTGTGAAAAGAATCTGACAGACTCCTTCCCTTCCCAGCCTCGCTTTCTTCATGCTTGTCAGATGATCTATTGGCAAAGGAAACAATAGAAGTTGTTCGGCTTTTAAAAAGTAAGGGCCTAAAGCCTGAAATGACAAGGACAAACATTCAGATGATTGGAGCACTAAGGTAAGCCATAAGATCATCTTTGCAGTCTGATGCCTTATTTTTCTAATTTTATCATGTTGATTTTCTTTCTTTTTCTTTTTTGGCAGAATGTAAACTGAGTAAGAGTTTGGGAAAAAAACGTGGGTGGTTTCTCTTGATGTTCTCATTTTTGCAGGCTTTGTTGACTTTCTTGCTTTTAAGATATTCTGCTTCTTCCTCTTTTCTTTGTTTGCTTCTGGTATCACCTGGCAATTAAGATGAGAAGTTGCTATGACCCACCTAACCACCTCAGTCACAGATTTAGCCCTGTTGTCAAAAAGCTATTAATAAAAGAGGTCATAAGATATCACCCTAAACCCACAATAGTCCAAAACAGAGTTTCCTCTCCTCCCTATAACACACCATCTTAATAAATCAATAGACTTGAACTCCCCCAACATCATATCCTTGACCATTTTCTCCAATCAACACCCACCCCACATCCATCCCCTTACAAATAACTTACACACCCTCTCCAGTCAATCTATAATAAACTTTCTTACTCCCAAGACTTCAGATTCAATCATGCCCCAGCTCTGTCCCTGGTTTCTTTTCAGCCTCCTAACCTTCTTCAGTAAAATATCATCTTCCTTTTGATTTACTAACTCTTTGTCGAACATTTCACCCTGAATAATATTTGCATGTAAGTCTCATACCTCCTGCTGACTGCTGAGGTCTCCATCCTAGTGATCAGACTCGTCTTTTGACAATAAAGTCCTGCTATTGTGTTTCTCTAGCAATCAAATCTCATCTATATCAGTTCCAACATTGCTTCAGATGTCGCTCCCTGCCTCCTCCTCTCAGCCTATCAGCGATCGATCTGGTTTTCTGGCAGTTAATGCCCCTTCTTTTAGAAACCTTTTTGAAACTTTTACAGGGTCCTAAACCACATAAGCCATTTTTCAGATGAGAAAAAAACTTAGCGACATAAATTAATCTATGGTTTTTTACACCTCAAATTCTTCTACCTACACAACCATTTGTCTCCTTTGGCATCTTAGTTTCATCTATCACAGAAGAAGATCCCTTACCCTTAACATCATCACCAAAAGCAGAAAAGCTGTGTTATAGCTTCTGCATTTTTTTTGAAGAGTAATAAAGAGAAAGGTTACAAAAAAGAGGTGACAAGATGGCACCTCATGGTCCTCATCCATAAGCAACATCTAATGACCAACAAATGCATACTAATGACTGTTACAGGTCTGAATTTCAAGCACATTCCAAAAGTTCTCCCTCAAATCTGATCTACTAATCTGTTCAAACTCAGGGAGCACCAGAACCCAATCTGAGACATAATGCCCTACTAAGGCCACCAGCACCTCAATATTTTTGGACTTGTTTTCAATGAATCTCCTGTTCCGCTCATTCCAAATAACCTGGCACACAGCAAAAAGGGATACAACTCCAGACTATTCTTGTTTTTTTGCTCCCTCTAATCTTTGGTCAGGAAGACAACAACTTAGCTGAAGACCTTGGCTGGAAGGTACATACTTAAAAGAGGGTCAAGTAGAAAAAATTTGCAATCTTACAAGAGTAAAACCATGGTTTTTAAAACCGAACCAGTCAGGGGTCCGGTTACCGGTTCGAATGGTCCGGCTGTTTGACCTGAACGGTCGACCCATTCTGACAAAAAAATAAAAAAAATTTAAAAAAATAAAAAAACTGAAAAACGGTCAAAACCGTTCGAACGGTTAACTGGCCGGTTCAGCGGTTTGCTTGACCAAAATCAACGGTTTTGGGGGTAAATGGAACCGGTCAGGTGACCGGTTCCCGGTTTTTCCGGTCTGGTCCGGTTTTGAAAACCATGAGTAAAACAGGTGGTGAACTGACTCCTCTTCTGAGCAAAATAGATAGCAATAGCTAGGGGTGTTCATGGGTCAGTTTGGTTCAGTTCCAGGCTATTTGGCCAATTGAACCGATTTGGTCGGGTTGAGGAGTTGGTCACCTGAAACCGACCAACCAATGATGAAAACTGGCCAACTCGGGTTGTATCGGTTTGGGTCGGTTTTTGGTTTAGTTGGTTGGTTCAAAAAAATTAAACTTAGAAGCTAAATTTAAATTTAAATAATTGTAAATAGTAATGATATTATTAAAAAGTAAATTAAAAAATTACAATATAAAATATTTTAAACTAGGAAATATGGGAATTTTCTCACTTTCCCATATTAAAAAATATAAATATTATTATATATTGGGTCTGTTCGGTTTTGGTCGGTTTAAAAACAATCAAACCAAAACTGACCTGACCTCTCAGGTTGGCATAAAAACTAAACTGAAATGGACCAAAGTAATTAGAAAACCAACCAAATCGGGTAGGATTGGGTCGAGTTGGTCGGTTTGGTTGGTTTCATCGGTTTGATGAACAGCCCTAGCAATAGCTTGAGGCCCCTGTTCTTTAAGTGGTCTGAAGTCAGAATGTTGTCCAAGGCTACCAACCATGCAAAAGCTTCCACTCTAGGTGGCACTGGGTTCCCCCTTACTGTTTTTACCTGATCGGAGACGAACTGGTCTTTAGCTAGGGACAAATAGAAAGATTTTACTGTCAACTTTTCATTTCTAGATTCTTTCCACCATAGTCCATCTCTTGAAGAAGCTGACACCTCTGACTGTTGTAACTTTTCCAGAAGCTGAATGCACCCTTCCAGTTCCTGATCCAGCAGGGGTCTTCTAGGGCTCCACACAACCTGTTCACCCCTTACCTGAGTACCTCAAAACAATGACTAACCGGAATTCGATGGTCTGCCAACCTGTATAGACTTGGGCATATCTCACACAATTTCCCTATCCCAAACCAATCATCCTCCCAGAATCTTACCCTTGATCCATCTCCCACCTTGAAGCTGACTAAGTCTCCAAAATTCTGACTAAACCACATAATCCCTTTCCAGACACTTAGCCCATAAGAATTTGAGACTTCCCTGTCTTTCACCCAAACCTCATCACCCATACTTCCCAACTACCACCCTTGACCAAAGGAAATCCCTTTCCCTCTTAGACCCAAACCTCCACAACCATTTGCCTTGTTAAATACTCTTATTTTCATAAAACCCAGTCCACTATTTTCTTTACGTCTGCACACTTTACCTCATTTTACTAGGTGAAATTTCTTAGGATCTCCACCCCTTCCCATTTTTTTGGAAAAGGTAAGGTGATTTTATTCAAATCAAAAAGCACATACAAGCTGGGTTCAGACCCAAAAGGCAGCCTGAAAACCACAGCAGTTACATTCTCCACTAGGAATTAGAGCAAGGGAAAGAAGACAATTTCAGACTTTTGAATTCCTCAGATACAGACACCCAAGAAATCAGCTTGCCCACAGCTCTCTGAGTGATATCTTCAGGACTTTTAGCTTTATTACAGAAAATTCTACTATTCCTCTCAGCCCAAATGGACCATAAGACAGCAGCAGAAATAGTCCTCCATACTAGGCTCCCTTTCTTGCTTAAGCCTTTCACATTCCAACAACAGAGAAGCTCCTTAGCCGATCTAGGCATTATCCAACTGAAGTCCAAGGCTTTGAGAAAGTGTCCCCAAATCTGAGAGGAAAATGGACAATGAATACACAAATGATCTGTCGATTCAGCTTGGTGCCCTCAAAGACTACAGGAAAGATCCATAACCTGGATGCCCTGCCTCACCAGATTAACTCTGGAAAGACATTTGTCAAGGGCCATCGTCCAAATCAGAAAGTTGGCTTTTGATGGACTTATAGGATTCCAGATCTGTGAAGCAGGAAAATCAGTGAGATCCACATGGCAAATTTTAGAGGCAAGGGATTTGACAGTAAATTCACCATCCCCACCCCTTCCCATAGAAAATCCCTTGCAATTTCTCAACTTTCTCAGCCACCCTAGCTGGAATTTTTCAGTAATGATAGGTAGTAAGTCGGCGAACTCGGGAGAACACTTCTAATGATGGCATTCCTGCCCCCAAAAGAAAGATATTTTACCTTTCACCTCTTCAATCTCTTTTCCACTCTTTCTACAATTGGCCTCCAACTTTCAGCTGTAGAAACCTTGTTCCCCACTGGTAAACCCAAGTAAAGGAAAGGTAAATGCCCAATACTGAAATTGAAAACAGCAGCCAAGCGCTCCAACTTCTCCCTTCCTACTTCTGCCACACCAAGCAGCTGACTTTTATTCAGATCAGCATTCAAGCCTGTCAACATTTCAAAATTAGCTAGTAAGGCCCTTAGATCAACACATGTTTTTTTATCAGTTCTGAAAACCTGTTCCACCGAAGCAATCTTAGAATATGAGGGTATCATCTGCATACTGGAGATGTGTGATACAGCCAAATAGGGACCTTCAATACCCACTCTAAAACCTTAAATCCAACCCAACTGTGCACCCTTCTCCTTGAGCAAATTCAGAATTTCCACAACTAAAACAAATAACAAAGGGGAAATTCAATCCACCCCTTGCTGCAAACCCCTAGAGGCTTGGAAAAATTCCATAAAGACTCCATTGAGGACTAGAGAGGAGGAAACAGGTGAGACACATGAAAACATCCATCTCCTCCACTTTTCCCCAAAACCCATCAATCTTTGCACCTCCTCCAAAAAACCCCACTCCACATGATCATTAAGCTTATACACCAACCCAGTCTCCCACTTCTCAACATCGAGCCAACACACTCACTATCTATCAGCACCCCATCTGAAATCTGCCTCCCCTGACAAAGGCCATTTGAGCTTCTCCCACTACCTCCTAAAGCACTCCCTTTAACCTCCTGGACAGCAGTGTAGCCATTATTTTATATTGACTGCTGATTAGACTTATGGGTCTGACCTCTTTTAATGTTCACCGCCCCATCCTTCTTTTGGATCAACGTGATGAAAGTTGCATTAAATCTCCTGTTAAAACTCTTGAGGTACAGAACTCCTTAACAATCTGAACAAAGTCCTCTTCCAGAACACTCCATCCAATCTTGATGAAATTAAAATTAAATCCATCCGGGCCTGGGGCTTTATCCCCATTTATACTCTTGAAGGATTTTTTGGCTTCCTCTCACTCCATCTCCCTTTCCAACCAGATAGCAGATATTTCACTCAGCTTCTTTAGCTCCAAATGGACCAAACCTCCTAAAGTATCCCAACTACAGCCCCTAGCTGAATAGAGGTTGAGGTTCATATAGAAATGCAGAACTTTGCATTGAATTTCCTCCCAAGTATCCATGAACTCCTCCCCCACCTGAATTCTTGTAATAAAATCCCTTCTCCTGGCATTAGCAACCAGAATGGAAGTAAGCTGTGTTTCTGTCTCCCTCTTTCAACCAAATTCCTCCTATTCTTAATCTCTTCTTTTAACCACTGCAGTTTTCTAGCCAACCTGAAGCCAGAAGAACCTTCCACCTGAAGATTTCGCCATTTCTCCTTTACCCACTCCAAGAAGTTTGGTTCACGTAGCTAAATGTTTTTGAATAAAAAAGGTTTAGCCCCATCCACAACGACAAAGTTCCTTAAAAATAAAGGTTTATGGTCCAACATGCTCACTGTCAATGCCTCTTGTACTACTTCCACCACATACTCCACCCAGTCCCCTGTGAAAAGAAATCTGTCTAGTCTTCTGAATCCACGCCCAATCTGCTTACATGAACCTCAACGTACCCAATTATTGATTCTTTTAAACCCTTAGTCTGTTCTGGTGACTTGCGTACCCTTGATCTGATATCAATGAATGAACAACATTTTCTTGTGATTTTCCTATTTTTAAAACATCATTAAGAGTGGCAAACTTGTAAGGCTCTGTTTTCTCCAAGTGCAAGTAATCTCCATGGGAAAGGGATTGTCATATTCCATCAAATTTGACTTCTGTTCATTTATCTTTTCTTTACTGGATTGTCCTCTCATTTGCAAGTTAAGTCATCCTTTCTGAAATTCCGTACCTTGTACTTTTTTTTGATAAGTATTCTGTCCCTTGTACTTTATCCCTATCTTCTAGATTCCACTGGAGCTACATGAATATCTGCAAAAATTTGTCTAGAGAATTGATAAATGTTGAAACCATCCTAAAAGCTTAATTTAGGGGAATATTGCTCTTGCAGTAGTATGGAGGAGCAATGGTGGGATTTTTGATAATAAAGTGTCCCAGGAGGATGAACTAATTTGGAAAGGTGTGGCATTTATTAGCATGCCAGTTTCAAAAGAGAATTAGTGCTGTCCCTTTGTCTACCTTTTCATCTTTGGGTTCTTGTTTTGATCATTGTTGATATTTTTATATGCATCTAAAGGTAGCAATGGTTTCTTGTACAGTGCGTCACTGTATAGGCTTTGGATGCTTAGTTTTCATTTTCGTACAGTTTTAATATAGTTTCAATGCAATACTTTAACTATCTATAAGAATGTCATCAATGTTGTCAGGATCCCAAACTAAGTGTCACTATGTGACCATCTCAAACTCAGGTTTTCCCTTATTCTTCCATTTTCCATGTTATGGAAGAATTTTTTACTTGCATTATCTTCTTTGATCAATTTACAATTTTAAATGTGCAATATGCATGACTTTATCTATGATAATTATTTATAAGAAAAAAGCTATGTATGATAGTTAGTAGTGTGACTATGCAGTCTTCATCTTGTTGGGTTGGTATTTTGAGATTTGTCATTGGTATTGAGAATTTGTAAATCTAATTCTAGTTGCTTGTATAGATATTTTAATATGTTATTAGGTTTGGTTCTGGTGAATATCTTCACTGTCATACTGGTAACAAGCTACATCATTTTGGTTGTTTAGTCGTGCTGTTGGATATCGTTTTGGACCACATCTTGGAGATACTGTTCCTGTGCTAATTAATTACTGCACAAGTGCTTCGGAAAATGATGAAGAACTTCGTGAGTACAGCTTGCAGGTATTTTTCCTCAATTTCTTTTCTGGTAGGCCCTTGCTCCATTTTGGAAAATGATGGCAACGTTTCATTTCTTATCATACGTGTTGGATTCTGATTTTGATTGCAGGCACTAGAGAGCTTTTTACTTCGATGCCCTAGGGATATATCATTGTATTGTGATGGGATTTTACATCTTTGTCTGGAATTTTTAAGCTATGATCCAAACTTCACTGATAACATGGAGGAAGATACTGATGATGAGAGTCATGAGGAAGAGGAGGATGAGTATGTTCTTGGCTTATTTAAAAGTGATGCATCAATTATGTGTCCTTGCTAACTCCTATCATTGGTTGTTTAATTCCATTACCTTTTATTGTAGTGAGAGTGCAAATGAATATACAGATGATGAGGATGCTAGCTGGAAAGTTCGAAGAGCAGCTGCGAAATGTCTGGCAGCAATTATTGTTTCTCGTCCTGAAATGCTCTCAAAGCTATATGAGGAGGTACTCAGTAAAGGAAATGGTCTCTTATATATATATTGTTTTGGTTTCATTAATAACACTTTTCATTTTACTTCTGGTCTCTCTTTTGGAGTGTAATTTGTCCAACTTTTATCAACTGTACAGCTGTACTTTAGCCTTCTGAGGACAATTTTTGTTTTGGATTTTAATATTTATACTAGGTAGGCTTTAGATCACTATACAAACTTGAAGGGTTTTATGATAAAAAAAATACAGAGTTTGCTAAAATTGTTGTCAATCTGTATGTCTTCTGGGTGAATAGTTTTTTGATGAATGTCTTCTGGGTGAATAGTTCCTGTTAGGAAGCTATTACATGCTGTACATCTAATGTACATGTTTGAACTGTCTTGCAGGCATGCCCTAAGTTGATAGAGAGGTTTAAAGAAAGGGAAGAAAATGTCAAGGCAAGTCTAAATTATCCCTTTTTTGGAATTTGGATATTGTTTCCTCCTAAAAGTTAATTGTCTGATATTATATTTTTTTTTTGCAGATGGATGTATTTAATACCTTCATTGAGTTACTACATCAAACTGGTAATGTTACTAAGGGGCAGATTGGCATGAATCAGATGAGGCAAGCAGATCTCTAACTATATTCCCGTGTTCATTTTTGGTTTTTTATCTTTACTTCCTGGGATGTGCCCTAGGTTCAACTTTCTCATTTTGTATTTTTTACATTAGAAAATCTTTGTAATATTAAATGCGTATTGCTTTATCAGTGTAATCCTGAACAAATATTTGTGGCCTTGTAATTGAGCTTGTATGACTGGTGGCCAAGCCCCAGCCTGTGTCAGGTACATTCTGGGGTTATATGTTAGTCCTGGCTTTGGGCTGTGTCTGGTCCTGACCACTTCAATACCCCTTGCTGCCAATTTTATGCTGAACTTTGGTCAATTACTACCTACGGACGAAGTCATTCTCTTCCTATTTATTATTGGCTGTGGATGATCTTTTCTAATGTCCAAACCCTTTTGCTATACTTTCCGTCAATTTATCACCTATTAGGGTTTTTGTTTTTGGTTCTTACGAATAATGTTCATGTTTTCATATTCCTTCTGCTTTTCCCACTTATCAATCCCAAATTGGAACTTCTTTTACACTCATATTTTGGACATGTTGTCAATTGGCCAAGACTGTACTCCATACAGCATTTGCTGACATCATAATTATTTTATCAATTTTCCTTTTAGGCTTTGTAAATTTTAGCCTAAGTGGTATTCTTCTAGTACATAGGACTCTGGATGCACACCTTATTTTGTACATCCTGCTTCTAATTCTATGGGTGACATCCCTGCATCTTTCCCTTGTTATGGATTGTTGTGCCAAAATAAAGAAAGAGGCCACATAAAGATCTCTCTTGGTCTTCAATCTAATTGTACGTTGATTTCCAATCCCATTTTGGTAAATTACTAAATTTACATTATATACATTCTGTTTAAGTCCTACTTATTTCAAACTTATTGTTTCTACATCATATGTCCATAAATCTTATTTTGCATATGTTCCTTCTCTAGTTTCATCAAATAGCATCATGTGATCAGCAAACAACATACACCATTGGACCTCCTCCTGAATATGCAATGAGTAGAAACAATTGGGACCCCTATGTTAAACGCTTACATACTTTGCTCCTTACTGTGATTTTAGCAATGGTTCTGGAATCCAATTTGTTCTGATTAGGGAAATTCCTTCAGTACCTCTTTTTTGTCATTGACATCCTATCTCATAAGTGGTCATGAATCTCCTGGAATTTCCGTTTCAGGATGGATCTTTCAAGGCCATTTGCTGACTGCTGGGTTGGATGAACTAAATTACTTACCCTTTTTTAGTGAATAAGTAATTAACTAGGGGGCAAGCTTCTAAGTTGCTGAATTGCTTGTTGGGGTAATACATTTGATATTTCATAATTTAGCTCTATACACTAAGGACAAACTGATAAACAAATAAGTTCATCCAATTCATCTGTCTCTGAATGTAGGATTTGGTTGTTAGTGGTGTTTAGTTTATTCACTTCTAAATTTTTGTTACTGTTTTATCTAGATCCATGGATTCTAGTTTCCTATACAAGAAAGTATGAAGTTTCCCTGATTCTTTTAGACATAGGGCATTTTCTTGAGAGGTCAACCTGCTGCAAGGTAATGAATTTGGCTTATAATTTATTATTGGACTACCTAGACTATCCAATTAAACGGTATAATGGATATATAAGGATTGTTTTAGGGGAGCTGCTATTGCCATTTGCCACTCCCTTTTTTGCAGACACACCTCCTTGCTTCCAAGTCATATTGATTTGTTAACCTACTGAAAATATATAAGAGTTGAGTGGTAACGGGCTGAAACTTCCTTTATCTACCAATGTGAATGAACCAATTGTTTACATTTAGTTACTTGTAATGTAAGATTATATGTCTTCTTTTTCTTTTTTTCTGTGCATTCTTAGTTACTTTTATTCTATAGTTGCATGCTTTATTTCCCCCCTAGTCAGATTTGACATTATCGTCTCCCAGATTTGTTCACCTTAATATCTGATTGGAAGAAATCGATTAGTTGAACCTGATTTTAGATTTTACAAAGTTGCAGTCCACGGTGGTTATTGAAGCAAGAAGTTCCAAAAATTGTGAAATCTATAAACAAGCAGCTCCGTGAAAAGTCAATCAAGACAAAGGTAGGAATAGGATAACTAGTATTTTGCTGGTCCATTGTACATTCTTTTCCCTTTCCTTTCATCCTTCGATTTGTGTGCAGGTTGGTGCTTTTTCAGTGTTAAAAGAACTTGTGGTTGTTTTACCAGACTGCCTTGCTGATCACATTGGGTCACTTGTTTCTGGAATTGAAAAAGCATTGAATGTAAGCTAAGTTTATTCAAGATGTGAATGATGGGCTGATTTCTGTTCTACATTGGCTGATATCAAGCTCTATTTCATTGCATCTTTCTCAGGACAAATCCTCTACCTCAAACTTGAAAATAGAGGCTCTCATTTTTACAAGATTGGTTATGGCTTCACATTCACCTTCTGTTTTCCACCCATATATCCAGGTAGAACTTAACATCTCTCTAGAATTGTTTGCTTCTTGTGGTTTTTGCTGCTGCGTCTGGGTTACCAAGTTATAGACATTTTATTGTTTATTTTCTTTTCTTTTCTTTTTGATTTTATTTGTGGACTTTCTAGGTTTCAGTGTAACAGTTTAGAACTGGATCTTCAGCATTTTATCTGTGTTAAATCTGTTCTGTTATCGGATTAGGCTTTATCTTGCTTGGATGACTTGATAAACCACAAATTGACTGGGATAAGGGGTTTGCTATTTCTTTTTTAATATTCTTAATTGTGCTTCAAAACTTTGGATGATGAAAAGATGATTGTGTATACTGGTGTATTTATGGCCTTTTTGGGTCTGGGTGTACAGTTATACTACATTGTGTATACTAGATAATAAATATACTTTTCTGTATATGCTTTTGTAAGAGGAAGTCCAGGAGGACAGAATGGTCCGTTCTCATTCTTGTCTAAAGCTAATATATAAATCAGTTTTGTGGGTAGTCAGGTAGTGTCATCACTTTCGACACACCCATACAACTCAAAGTTATAGAGGCTTCCCAAACAAAGGCGCAAGATGCAGCCTCAAAACAAACAACAAAATTATAATTGAACCCAAAAATAAATGATCCTTATGCTCCCCTTAGCTAAAAAACATCTGCCATCCCACTAGCCGGCCTTCTTTCCCACATAATTCTAACTCTCATACTCACATGTTTGCAGTAAGCCATTTAATTTTCTTATAGCTTCTCTTTATGACCAAGTTACTGTCTCTGGTTCCTTCAGCCACCCAATTATCACTTTAGAAATACCTTTTAGCAACCTCTTGTAGTTCAGCTCTCTAGCAATTTGTACTCCCTGTAAAAGAGCTTGGAATTCCACATTTTAAGAATCCCCAACTATTGGCAGTACAATTTACTTCCCTTTGCATCCATTGTACCCATAGTTGTATATTTGCCTAGGTAACTAGGCACTTTTCAAGGAGTGCTTTGCCCAAATGGCAGGAAAAAATAGTGTTAGGCGCACACCCAGGGAATTAGGCACACACCCACACCTAGGTGGGTGCCTAGAAACAAATATAAAATATACAATATTTTATTGGTTGGTTTCAGTTTTTATAATAGAACCTCTTGCATGTCATCATGTTTTTTGTTGTGAGGAAAGTAAAAAACAAACTTTGTCTTCGAGGGTTTCACTTTGATAGGAGAACTGAACAGAGGAAGAAAGAAAAAGAGGCCTCCTTTGTTCCCTACACAAGATCCCAGTGTTTTAAAAGTGCAAGGGCCAATTTGCGCCTGGGGTGAGAGGCACAAGGTGAGGCATGTGCCTTTTTGAAGCAAGGCGCAAAAATCCAAAAAATTGCCGAAAAATAAAAAAGTTAGAAAATTCAAAAAATGCCAAAAATTAAAAAAACGCAAAAAAATAAAAATATTAAACATAATATTAATAAGAAATATAAACTTAATTTTTAAAATTAATGGTTTTAAAAAACCTATTATCTAAAATA